GCTGCTGGCAGGGCTTGGCCGGGGTGAGCACCTCTCCCAGAGCCTGGAGGAGGCAAAGGGGGCTCAGTGGGTTTGCCCTGTCTCTGAGCAAGGCTCTGGGAGCAGAGCAGGCCAGGGAGTAGCCAGCACAGCCTGGCTGAGGGAGCACTGGGTGGGCTCTGCGATCACTGCCCCACTGGCATCTGCCAGGAGCCCTTGTGGGGACACCTGTGACACCCCACACGGCAGGGTCTGCAGTGTCTGGGGGCACACAGTGCTGAAAGGCCCTGCCAGAGCCTGGGAGGGCTCTGCTCCTGCAAAGAGACCCTGAAAGCAGGTGTGTCCTTCACAGGATAGGACAAGGCTGAGGTGGGTTCAGGGTTCTGAGGGCAGGTAAATGCTGTGGCAGCTCTGAGAAAACACCTGTTTGGGCACTTTGGTTTGGGCACTTTGGTTTGCAGGTGCTGGAAGCAGAGGCAGAGAAGGGTGGAGTACCATAACAGCCCACTCTTAGCCATGTTTTGGATGTAGAAGAGGCTTGGAGGAAGATGTGAAACTGGATGATAACGCAAACTCCATGATTTCTTGCAGACGTGCTCAGGGTTCGTTTGAACCCTCAGTTCCTGTCAGGGTTCGTCAGGCAGAGCAGAGGAGGGTTCTGTGTCCACCTTGGAGCACAGCTGTGGCGTGCCGAGCTCTGGTGATGTGCTGGCAGTGCAGGGGGAGCTTGCAAAGGGTCTGCAGTGATGGATCCTCCAGGGAATGATTGCTAGGAGAGAGGAGAGGGAGCACAGGGCCTGTTTTCACAGAGGGCATGCCCCTGATGCTGGGGTTTTGCTGTATCCCCCCAAAGATGCAATGGTTGCTGTCACTGGTCTGTTCACAGCATTCAGGGTGGGGGCTCCCTGTGAAGAGCTGTGGGAGGATCATGTTCCACTCATGTTCCACTGCTGGGTCAGGGAGGAGGATGGGACATGAAGTCACTGCTGCTAAGCAAACTGCTGGAAAGCAGCACAGATGGCACTTAGGGTGGGCTCTGAACTGGCTGCTTCAGCCTGGAGCTTTGTGAGTGTGCCACACCAGGCTCGGGGCAGGCAAAAAAGCAAATCAAACGTTGAGTTTAATTAGACAAGAAACAGAGAATGAAAGAAAATATCATCACCCACAGCTCAGATTCTGCCCACACTTTCTGTCTGGTTCCATTCCCTAAGTGAGCAGAAGTGATAGAAACTGTTTAGAAAAGGACGTTAATGGGATCTCTGGCAGATAATGGTTCCAAGCAGGAATAAAACATTCTTTGGCATGGGCAAAGCTGCAGGAATATCACAAAGGTGTGCACAGAGTCATGGGGAAATGAGAAGCTGCTTTTTTCATAACACAACTCTGGGCAGCTCCATAAGAACTGACCAGGCAGCAGGTTTAAAATAAACACAGGCAGCATTTCTTCATGCAGAATGTAATTAAATTGTGAAATCATTGTCCAGAGTTGCATGGGTTCAAAACTAGATGAATTCATGGAAAGAAAAAAAAATCCATCAAAGGCTGATGAGCACAAATAGGATGATCTGTGGCTCAGGAAGTGTCTGAGCCACAGCGGGCTGGGAGCCGGGGAAGCTCACAGGAGGATTGTTCCATACGTGCCATGTTCCTCTCATTTCTGCATCCACTGCCAGCCCTGCCGGAGCTGTGCTGGTGCCCAGAAGGGCTCTGCAAGCCTGGACCAGGCTGGGGTTTGCAGCAGCCTCTGGGCAGGGTGGGCAGACCCAGCTGTGCCCACAGGGCCTCTGTCTTGCCAGCGTGCATGGGCAAGGCCACTGCCACTGCTGCTTGCTGCTGTCTGTGTGACCAGGCTGGCACTGGTGCGTGTGGGTGCTGCTCTGTAGCTCCTCTGGCATGTCCGAGCAGGGTGCTGTGCTCAAAGGGCTTCTCCCAAAGGGCTCTGGCTCCTCGTGGAAGGGAGAGGAGGAGCAGGAGCGTCTCAAGTCTGGCTTGGGGCAGTGGGGCAGATGTTGCCCCACTGTGGCAGGGAGAGTTGGAAGGGGCCTCTGAAGGGTGTCCCCACGTCGAGGTGTCCATGCAGACCTTCCTTTCATCAAGGGCCAGGCTATATTTAGGTCTGTGCCTCCATCACTGCTGCAAAAGGCTGTTCCAGATTCCTTGATCTGGTACTAGAAAACATCTCTTCATTTCCAGCCTAAACTAATTTCTGACCATTTTATACTCATTTGTTCTTGTGCCAATATTGTGTTTTTGCTTAAAAAGCTGTCCTCTCTCGCTGGAATTTCCCTCCCTCTCGCAGTGTTTACAGAGCACAGTCCCAGCACTGCCTGGCCTGGCTGAACGAGTCCAGCTCCTCTGGTCTCCCCTCCCAGGGCTGCAGCTCAGTGCCAGCAGCTTGGGCAATAGCTCTGGCCCTCACCCTCTGCCCAGAAACCTGCACCCTCTTCCCCAGAGTCGTGCTTGGATTCCACTTGTCCCTTTCCTAAAGGCATTGAGTGGCACAGATCGCCCTGCACAGCTGGGTCTGGGAGGGTGGTCTCTGCCACAGGATGCGCTGGTGGGCTGGGAATGTGAGGTCTGTCCCCTCGAGGTGGGAATTTGGCCTCTGCTGGGGTGGAAGGAGCAGCAGAGCCTGTGCTGAGTGGGAATCCTGTTCCTCCAAAGTGTGTGCTGGAGGGGGTACAGGCTGTGTCGCAGGCACAGCACAGGCGTGTTTGCTGAGGAGGATCCCAAAACCTGAGAGGGGCTGGGGGACAGAGATGGGGTGCATCTGGCTCCACAGCTATCCAGAAAAGGGGTGCAGTGCTGTAATGTGTGGTCTCAGTGGCAATGGAAGTAGCTCCCCTCAGGACACAAGGTTACCTGAGCACCTGTGATTGATGTCTCAATGGTCTTGTGCTGCACTGGCGTAAATTGGGGGTCTGAAGTACCAAGAGACAGGCAGTGCTACCCAGCACCAAAGGAGAGAAGGGAAAAGGCCCAGGCTGGGGTACCTGAGCCCCAGAAGGTCTGCCAGCTGCCCTTCCAGAGGTGGGAAACCTCCCTGGCTAACTGTGGGAGCTGAGGAGATCCCTGGCTGTGGGCAGGGGGGCTGGCACTGGGCTGTGAGGGCTCACCATGGGCATTTCCAGCTGAAGGTGTCTGTTGGGGCGGGGAGGAGCAGGAGCAGCCTGCAGAGGCTCTGGGTGTAGCAGGGTGAAGCAGTGCCCTCCTCCGTGTGCCCCCAGCCTGCCCAGTGGGTTGTTAAACAGGACACAAGGGGAGGAGGGCTGGTCAGGCAGGACCTCCCCGGCCAATTGCTGTGGGCTCCTCTGTGTTCCCAGCCTCAGGCACAGACTGCGGGTGCTGTGGGGAGTCTGTGTTGTGGGGAAGGTGTAGGGCTGGTGCAGGATGGTGCAGAGCTCATTGGGTCATGCCAACGCTTGGGGGCGGTGGGGTGGTCTGAGCGGTTCCCTGTGCCNGCGCCTCCGACAAGCGCCACGAGACCGAGGCCAACCTCACCGTCCTCGTGGAGGATGTGAACGACAACGTGCCCACCTTCACCCAGGCTTTCTATCAGGTACAGGTGCCAGGTGTGCCGGCCAGCCCACACAACCTCTGCAGCTCCTGCCTGGCCCCCCTGCCCTTACAAAGCAGAGCATGGCTCTGAGCCCCTTCTGGTCTCACTCTCTTACCCACATCTGCATCCTGGCATCCCTCATGCTCTCACTGTGGTATTGAAGGAGCTGAAAACCAGGAGAGTGACCCTGGGACCAGCCCCTGCAAGGGGCACAGCTGGATGCAGAGGGTCCAGCAGAAATGGATGAGCACAGTGGGGAAGCCAGAGGGGGTGGGAAATGGGTCCCAGCCCAGACAAGTGTTTGTGGCGATACCTGGGCAGGTCCCTGTTGAAGGCTGGCTTGGGCAGTGTGTGCTGCAGCACTGAAGCCCAGGCAAGGGACTGGGGAGCCCCAAGAATGCTTGAAGCGTCTAGGAGCACAAACTCCTTGTGTGTGGTTTCCCTGGCCAGTGAGAGGCTGGGCACCCTTGGCTTTGGCTGCCTGGTCAGCCCCAGATCCCCATCTCAGGGATGCTGGGGGCTCTGAGTGGGGGGGGAACTAGATGCTGACTGGGGTTTCCTCCTTTTCCAGGTGCTGCTGCCAGAGCACACACCTGCTGGCAGTGTCATCCTCACTGTGAGTGCAACCGACCCCGACTCAGGGAGCAATGGGGACATCACCTTCCACCTGGCTGTGCCCAGCCCTGATGTTGCCATCGACCCCAGCAATGGTGCGTGGGCTTGGTGCTCTGTGTGCCTCTCTCACAGGTCAATCTAAGGTTGCCTGTGGAGGGGAGTGCCCCTGTCCTGCCTCTGTTCAAACCCTCAGGAGGTCACTTTCTGGTGTGGGTGGTGAAGCAGACACAGCAGGGTGAACATCAAATGCTCCTCCAGCTGATACCCTTCCCAGCTCCCACTGGTTCCCTCACTGACCCTGGCCTTGTGCTCCACAGGGACCCTCTTCACCACGCGGCAGGTAGAGTTCAACGCCAGCCAGCCCACCCTGGACCTGGTGGTGGAGGCCCGCGACCACGGCTCTCCCAGCCTCTCATCCTGGGCCACGGTGCAGCTCCAGGTTCTGGATGTGAACGACCACAGCCCCCGCTTCCAGGAGCTGTGCTACAACGCCAGCGTTCCCGAGGACCTGCGCCCAGGCACCACCGTGCTGATGCTGGAGGCGGGCGACGCCGACCTGTCCCGGGAGAACGCCGGCTTTGATTACACCATNGAGCGCACTGTCCGCGCCTGGCAGCCTTTCTGCCCACCCTCATCCCTGAGCCCCCTCTGCTCCTGCTCAGCTGCTGATCCAGCCCTAAAATCCACAGGGAGAGCCTGGATGGGAAGGGATGACCCTGCACCTGTTCTCATGTCCAAAGAACTGACAATTGCAGTTCTGCCTTCTCCAGGCTTTAGACAGCTGACCCTGTCCTAGATACCCTGTGCAGACGTTCCCTGCACAGAGACTTCCACTCTTCCCAGGGTCTGCTGAAACCAGTGTTCTGACCTGCAGGGTGCCCCTCATGTCTGTGTCACTTTGGGACTCCCTGCCTGCTGCTGCCCACACAGCTACATCCTTTCTTTACAGTTAGTGATGAGCTTCCTTTTACAGCAGAGGCTCTGGTTCCCCCCACCAAGGCACTCCCACTGAACATTGTTTCACATCTTCTCCTCCATGTCCTTGCAATTGCCAAGGCCGTTTGACTGTCCTTGCTGTGCCACCTCCAGCCATTGCCCATTGCTCCCTTGAGCCAGCTGGTCTCTCACTCCTTTGCCACACAGCATCCCCACTCTGTGCCTGTCCCTTGCTAGTGTGGGAGCTCCAGAGCTGAGTTCTAGCCCAGGTGGGTCTGATACACCACGTTCCCTTGAATGAAGCCTGGTGTTAGCCTGCCACAACTGCCTTCAGCCACCAGCAGCATGTTTTATACCATTTCCTCATTACACTATGTCTGTAACTGTTCTTGCCATCAGAGCTGTTCTGCAGCCTCCAGAGCACTGAGGCTAGGCTGGCCATCCCCACCATGCTGGTTTGCATCCCTGTAATAGATATTTGCTGGACAGTCACTGGGTTTGGTCCCCTCTGGGCTGACAGGTTTGTTGTTACTCCCATTTTCCTCAGCTCCTTGACAGGAATGTGCTTCTTCAGTGGGTTTTCCCTTCAGGTCATGCTGTGGTGGCCTTTGCAGCATCCTCTCTCCCATCTGCGAGTGCACCTCATGCCCAAATTAACTCCAGTATCTTTAATAAAACTAGTGATGGTGTTTATTTATCTCGGGGTCATACTGGGTTCCCTTTCCGTGCCTCCCGTCAGGATGAGCGTGACCTCTCATTCACTCTCGCTTATGTTTGCAGAATTGTTTCTGCTGCCGTCCGTTGACTTTGCAGGATCAGACCCAGGCACAGAGCCCGAGAGGGGCTGAGGAAAGGCACCTGTGAGGGTCACCTTCCCCAGCCCCCTGCTCACATGGGGCTGCCTGGTGACTTCTGGCTGTCTCCAAGGCTGGAGACTCCACCACCTGTGGGCAGCCAGTGCCAGGGCTCAGGCACCCTCACATGTAGAGTGTGTTCAGAGGAGCAGAGGGACCCTCCTGTGTTCCAGCTGTGTGCCCTGGCACACAGCCCCCCGTGCGTGCCCCTCACTCCTTCTCTCCTCACAGGTGTTGCCATCCTCCCGCGTGCTGCCCCGGCCTGATGCCACCGTGCTGACCCTGCATCCCCTCGAGGGGGTCAAGCCGGGGTCTGTGATCGGTTCAGTGGCCCCCCCGGACGCCCCTGCCCGAGGACAGCTGACCTACACGGTGGTAGGAGGCGGTGGGGACGGCACCTTTGTGGTTGACAGTGTGACAGGGGAGATTTACGCTGCCCGTGAGCTGGACTATGAGGCCGGGGCACGGCACGTGCTCCAGGTGAGTGCTGAGGACACGCAGCACGGCTATCCCTCCAGCAGGTTGGTGCTGGTCCACATCCACGTGCAGGACTGCAATGACCAGGCCCCCACCTTCCCCGAAGACCCCATTACCATTGTGGTGCCTGAGAACGCCCAGGCTGGCTCCTCCATCTTCACCTTCCAGGCGCTGGACGGGGATGGGGTGGGCCCCAACAGCCAGGTGCGCTATGCTCTGCTGCACCTGGAGCCGCCCGGAGCCCCCTTCCAGCTGGACGGCCGCTCGGGGCAGCTCAGCCTGCGCCAGGGCCTCGACCGCGAGGCCGCCGCCGCCTTCCTGCTGGTGGTGGAGGCCACGGACCAGGCCCGCAACGTCAGCCAGCGCCGCTCAGCCGCCGTCACCGCCCGCGTGTTCGTCACCGACGAGAACGACAACGCGCCCGTCTTCCTCTCGCCGGCCACCGTCAGCGTCATGGAGGACCAGCCCACGGGCTTCGTGGCGCTGCATGTGGTGGCCCAGGACAGCGACCTGGGAGAGAACGGCCGCGTGAGCTACTCCCTGCGAGCAGGCAACGCTGATGGCCGCTTCCACCTGAACCCCAGCACCGGTGAGGGCTGGGAGCGTGCAGAGGTGGCGGCAGGGATCCTGGGAGCCGGAGGCTGGGGAGGGTGCAGGGGTACACAGGGACATTGCACGGTGTGTGAGGGCTGGGAGCGTGCAGAGGTGATGGCAGGGATCCTGGGAACCAGAGGCTGAGGAGGATGCAGGGGTATGTGAGGACATTGCACGGTGTGTGGGAACACAGAGGCTGTGGGCTGGGGAGCCCCAGGAGGGAGACTGGGGGTGCAGGGAGTGCCAAGCACAGCATCTGGTTGGCACAGTGCTGCTGTCTCCTGAAAGCCATCTGTCCTGCAGCCCACAGTAGTCCCGAGGCATAGGTCCCAGTGCCCCTGGTGCCAGCTTGCCCTCTCCTGTGCCCACAGGTGCCCTCTCCATCGTGCGGGCCCTGAACCGGGAGGAGGTGGCCCAGCACAACCTGACGGTGGTGGCCGTGGACCACGGCTTCCCACGGCTCTCAGCCACACAGCTGCTGTCCGTGCTGGTGCTGGACGTCAACGACGAGGCTCCTGTCTTTGAGAAACCCGAGTACCAGGCCCACATCATGGAGAACCTGCCGGCCGGCAGCCCGGTGCTGCAGGTGCTGGCCACGGACCGCGATCTGGGTGAGGACGCAGGCCAGGGTCAGCTGCCCAGTTCCTTCGGGGCCTGTTTGGAAATGCAGCCCCAGGCCTGGGCATGCCCTGCTCCCTTCTGCCAGTCTGGAGAGCCTGGCTGACCAGAGGGAAGGACCAGAGGGAGGTGGGCTGAATCCTGGGAGGGGGTGGGAATGGAACCTGTGGTTCCCTCTGGTCCCCTGGCCCGTGGCCTTTGTTCTGTGGGCTCTCCTTGGCCTGCCAGCAGCTGGGTTAGGCTGGGACCCCCACACACACCTCTGCCACCAGAGAGCAAGCCCACCTTCCCCAGATGAGATCCAGGAGGTGCAGGAGCCCAACGAGGCGCTGGGGCTGCTGCTGGGCTGCCTTCAGAGCCCCCTTGTGCCCGCAGGTGCCAACGGGCAGGTGTCCTATGGGGGTCTCTCGGGGGGGCCCTTCTCCATCCACCCACAGACGGGGCTCATTGTCACCACGCGTCCCCTGGACCGGGAGGAGCAGGAGCAGCACGTGCTGACAGGTAAGCAAAGGGAGGCAGCAGGCAGGAGGGCACACAGGGATTCTGGTGCTGGCGTGGGGAGTGTTGCAGAGGGCAGGCCATGGGGAGGGAGGGAGGGAGAGAGGAGGGGCTGTGGGGCACAGCAGGGCTGTGGGGCGGTTTGGGGCTGCAGGAATGCCAATGCTCACATGCCTGGCTGCCCGTGTGGGTGCCTGGGTGTTGGCACACGGGCTCTATGGCTGCAGCTCCCAGTCACCCTCTGGTGCTCTCGCTGTCCTGCAGTGTATGCCCGGGACGCCGGCCTGCCGCCCAGCCTCACCAAGGCCACGGTGTGGGTCACCGTGGGGGATGAGAATGACCATGCACCCCTCCTGGAGAGGGAGTCCTGCTCCATAGAGGTTCCTGAGAACCAGAGTCGTGTGGCACTCTACACCCTGCGGGCCACTGATCCTGATGGTGGGGAGAACGGACGCCTGGAGTACCGGGTGGCAGGTGAGATGCACTGGGAGCGTGGGACTGGGCAGGGACTTCTCCCTGGGCTCCCCTGGATCTGGGGACATCAACTGCAGGAGTTCCATTCCACGTCAACTTTCTCGTGCTGCCAACTGCATGGCATTGCTGTCATCTCTCAGCTCTCTGTCCCCAGTGAAGAGCACCCTGAGATCTGGACAGGCTGCCCTGCTCATTCCCCAGGCTGGTGTCTAGTTCCCCAGCCTTAGACCAGTTCCACACCTCTCCTGGCTGCTGTGACCTGTTAATTCACAGGTTGCCAGGTCAGATTTTTGCTGTATCCTGCCACAGGCTGCCTGGCAACTCCCCATGGCAGCAGCAGTAGCCTGTGAGTAGTTAGAGTCAGTTCTTCATATGGAGGTAGCCCAAGGAGTCTGCTCCCACTGGGGCTCACTCTACCCACCCTGCCAGATCCCATGGTGCTGGGCTCCATGCTTTCCAGGGCCTTTCTCATTCCAATTACAGGCATGCTGCATTGTTGCTTCCCCCCTTCTCTTTTAGGTGGAGACCCTGGGCAGGATTTCAGCCTAGACCCCGTCTCTGGTGTCCTCTCCACCGCACATGCCCTCGACCGAGAGCAAATTGCTTCCTACAGCCTCACTGTAGTGGTGCAGGACCACGGCTCCCCGCCACGCAGTGCCACCATGTCGGTGACCGTGCAGGTGTTGGACCTCAATGACAACGCCCCCAGTTTTGCTCAGGCCAGCTACACGGTGGAGGTGCCAGAGGACTTGCCGGTCGGCGCCCTGGTGCTGCAGCTGGCGGCCGAGGACCCGGATGAGGGCACCAATGGGCAGGTCTCCTACTACCTGGGCAACGAGTCGCTGGGCATGTTCCAGGTGGAGCCGCAGAGCGGGCGGCTCCGCAGCGCGCAGGCCCTGGACCGGGAGCGCCAGCCCAGCTACAGCTTCCTGGCCATGGCGGTGGACGCGGCGCCCTGGGAGCCCCGCAGCGCCGCCGTGCGCGTCACCGTCGTGGTGCGGGACGTCAACGACCACGTGCCGGCCTTCCTGCACAGCCCGCTCACCGTCAACCTGTCCCGCCACACGCCCCTCAAGCAGGTGGTGGCCACCATGAGGGCCGAGGACCGGGACGCGGGCGCCAACGCCTCCATCCTGTACCGCTTTGCCAGCCCCAGCTCCGCCTTCGCCATCAACTCCTACACGGGGGACATCCAGCTGCTGCAGCCCCTGGGCGCCCTCAGCCAACGCCAGCGCACGCTCTTCGTGCTGGCCATGGACCTGGGGCAGCCGGCGCTCTCCTCCACGGGCGTGGTGGTGATCCACATGCAGGAGGAGCCCTACCGCGGGCTGCGCTTCCCTCGCAGCACCAGAGATGTGGCCCTGGCTGAAAATGCCGCCCCAGGTACCCACGGACAGTGACCAGAAAGTGCTGGGATGGAATGGCATAGGGCACGAGGGGAGGTGGGAGCAGCGCTGTGGGGAACTCTGACCAGAGAGCACTGCGGGGTCTGGGGAAGTCCTGTTGTGCTTTGGGCAGACCCGAGGAGCTGCAGGGTCTGAATGGTGCCCAGGCTGGTCAGGGTGGTGTCCCTGTGGGCTGGCCTGAGTGTGTTCAGACCACTGTAGGCAGCCACAGGTGCCCAAGTGCTCCCAGAAGGTCCCCAGGGTCACAGTGAGACCACTGAGGAGCCGTGGATATGCACCATGACACCAGGCTCCCAGCCCAGCATTAACCTTAGCTCTTCAGTCCCCTGTCCCAGTGTCCTCAGGCAGAGCAGTGCTCCTGTGGTTCAGCACGTGCTGCCCTGCGTCACCCTGACCCTTTGCCACGTGCTCCCAGGCTCTGTCTCTTCATGCCCTTTTGCTCTCCCAGGCACTGAGGTGGCGAGTGTCCAGGCCGTGCACACGGGGGGCTCCTCGGGGCACATCACCTACAGCATCGTCAGTGGCAACGAGAGGAACACCTTCCTGATCCAGCCCAGCTCAGGTACAGCTCCAGGAACACCTGGGGAGCTCTGCTCATGCCTCATGCCTGCTCAGGTGCTCGGGGCCCCAGAGCACAGGAGCACTGTCCATAGTCTGTACCAGTTCGGTGAGAGGTGTTAGTACTGGAGTGTGGACACTGCCCTGTCGCTGAACAGAGGCTGTTAGCACTGCTCCCAGTGCAGTTGTGCAGTTGTGGTCCCCCATAATGAGACCTTTTCCCAAAACCTCCAAGAGCTGGGTTAGATGGGATTTGGGGAAAACATTCTTCCCTGTGAGGGTGGTGAGGCCCCGGCACAGGTTGCCCAGGGAAGCTGCCTCATCCCTGGAAGTGTCCAAGGCCAGGTTGGACAGGGCTTGGAGCAACCTGGGATAATGGAGGGTGTCCCTGTGTGCCCATAGGAATGTTGTCAATTAGATCAGTACATCCTGCTGGCTGCCCTCCTCCTCCCCAGGAGGGACAGCAGCCCCTTGTCGCTCCAGCAGCCTGGCTGCCCACGGTTCAGGTTGGTGGCAGTGGCTGTCTGTCCTCAGAGCACTTTGTAAGGCTCTGACTGGACTCAAAGCTGCAGTGAGGTGTCTGGCTCGGAGCTGGATGAGCTTATGTCATGGTAGAACAGCTCTTTCTGCTCCACACCCTCAGGGAGGTCTCCAGATGGGAGGATGGTGACATGCTGTAATGGCAGCAGGAGCTGCCTGTCCCCAGCAGGGTGTGGGTGTCATCACTCAGGGCAGCTCTGGAGAATGATGGCAGTGTGGGGAGGGCTTGGAAAAGCTCAGTGTGTCTGTCCTGTCCACCTGAGAAAGG